TTTTTTACAGAGAGGAAGGGAGAGGGACAGAGAGCTAGAAACATCAATGAGAGAGAAACATCAACCAGCCGCCTCCTGCACAGCCCTCACAGGGGAAGTGCTTGAAACCAAGGCACATGCCCTTGACTGGAACCTGAGACCCTTCAGTCCGCAGGCCACTGCTCTATCCACTGAGCCAAACGAGTTTCAGCAACACCACTGACCCTTAACAATGGAACACAGCCCTCAGCAATCCATATGCCTGTGTCCATGCCTTTATTTTTCACTTATTTATTTATATTTATTTATTTTTTAAACATTTTTTTATTGATTTTCTACAGAGAGGAAGAGAGAGGGATAGAGAGTTAGAAACATCGAGGAGAGAGAAACATAGATCAACTGCCTCTTGCCCACCCCCCACTGGGGATGTGCCCACAACCAAGGTACATGCCCTTGACCGGAATCAAACCTAGGACCTTTCAGTCTGCAGGCGGTGCTCTATCCACTGAGCCAAACTGGTTTCGGCGGACACTGTTTTCTTGTTGGGTGACGTTATGAACTCCTCTGGTGACCTCCGGTAACTGTCTTTTCTTTCAGAGACCATTGTCCTTTGGGGATGTGGCCATAGACTTCTCTCAGGAGGAGTGGGAGTGCCTGGACCCAGCTCAGCGGAAGTTGTACCTGGATGTGATGTTGGAGAACTGCAGCAACCTGGCCTCCCTGGGTGAGGATGACTTCCTTTCTGAGTTCCTACTCCACCCGCAGGGCTTGTTTCCTTTATTGTTTTAACATCTATCAGGGCCTTCTGCTTTCTGTGTTAGATTCCTGCTCTTTTGGAACAAACTGGCCCCTAGCTGTTTTGGCTCAGTGGAGAGTACACCTGTCTGCAAACTGAAAGGTCCAGGTTTGATTCTGGTCAAAGGCCAATGTCAGGGTTGCTGGCTTACTCCCCAGTAGGGGGCGTGCATGAGACATCCTGTCAATGATTTTCATCATTGATGTTTCTTTCCCTCTCCCTGCCTCTCAGAAAGCAATAAAAAAAATGTATTTTTTTATTTTTATTTTTTAAAGGAACAGCCAGAACCGGTTTGGCTCAGTGGATAGAGCATTGGCCTACGGACTGAAGGGTCCCAGGTTCGATTCCGGTCAAGGGCATGTGCTTTGGTTGCGGGCACATCCCTGGTGGGGGGTGTGCAGTAGGCAGCTGATTGATGTTTCTCTCTCATCGATGTTTCTGACTTTCTATCCCTGTCTCTTCCTCTCTGTAAAAAATCAATAAAATATATTATTAAAAAAAAAAAAAGGAACAAATTGGGGTCCTTGGAATTGAGAAGAAAGGCTTTGTGATGTATGTAAATTAGGAAGTAAGTGTTCAGTGTTTACATATTGTCTACACTGATTAATGTTCTATCAGAAAATAATATTTTAGAAAATCGTTTTCTAGAATATATTTTTTTTTTTACCCATTTACCAATTTCTTTATTGCCATTCTGTTCTCAGTTGTGTCATGCACAATAGACACTTGTTCAAGAGGCTTCAAAAGAGGAAGATCATTGAACATGCACTTTCCTCATCTCTCTCTCCAGCAAAAACAAACTGGGAATTGGGAGTGTTTTTATACTATTGCCATGTGTGCCAGGGGGTTTGAGCAGGTATCGTTGCCAAATGTAAGCAACTCTTTGTCCCTCTTTGATTTGCATTTTCCTCATTGTACCTATCTGAACTTTGGTTGAATCCTTCACTAGTTATTGGAGTACTCAAAACTGTCACTCGGCCTATAGTGGTTGGTAACTTCAAAATGCCAAACTGATTGTCAAAACTGAAAATTTTTTTTCTTTCAGTTATGTCATCTGAAGATGACCAGGCCCTTATGCCAAAGTCTGGAGTGCAAGATTTATTCTCTGAAAAAAAACTGGTAAGATATAAAGGTTGTCACTTTCATAATGTACACTTAATGAAAGTCTTGGAATTTCAGAAGAGTGTGGTGAGAAGAAAGGATGTTAATATAAACAGAACTAATCTGGAACAGTTATTTATTTTTAAAAATATATTTTATTGATTTTTCACAGAGAGGAAGAGAGAGGGATAGAGAGTTTGAAACATTGACGCGAGAGAATCATTGATCAGATGCCTCTTGCACACCCCCGATCAGGGATGTGCTTGCAACCAAGGTACATGCCCTTGACCGGAATCGAACCCAGGACCTTTCAGTCCGCAGGCTGATGCTCTATTCACTAAGCTAAACCGGTCTCGGCTAATCTAGAACAGTTATCAGAAAAAAGTAGTTTTTACCTAAAGAGGTTAAGTGTAGTATGAATTTAGAAAACCTTCAGTATTGAAGTTAGTTACATTGGCAGATAAGTGTGTTTCTTCTGCATGTGAAGGTTGAAAACAACTTTTTACTTTTATGCATTCTTGTAAAGGAAATCTGGAAAAACTAGGAATTTGCATAGTCTATAGTGTAAATAGTCTTTTGAATCGTTTAAAATGTAGGATGGGCCAAAACCGGATTGGCTCAGTGGATAAAGCATCAACCTTCGGACTGAAAGGTCCCAGCTTTGATTCCGGTCAAGAGCATGTACCTTGGTTGTAGGCACATCCCTAGTGGAGGGTGTGCAGGGGTCCACTGATCGATGTTTCTCTCTCATCAATGTTTCTAACTCTCTATCCCTCTCTGTAAAAAATCAATAAAATGTTTTTTAAAATAAATAAAATTAAAAAAATAAAATGTAGGGTAGGTTTTGTTTTCATGCAATCATTTCTAAAATGTAGAGATTTATAATGTACCTATAAAATTTAAATGTATTCAATTTGGAAATCTTATTATTACTTTTAAATAGATTTTTATTACATTCATAGAGGTAGTGAGAGAGAAACATTAGTATGAGAGAATCATTGATTGGCTTCCTCCTGCATGTCTTCCTCCCTCCCCCTCTCACCCCCCCCCCCCCCCCGAGAATTAAATGTATAACCTGAGCATGTGCCCTTGACTGGATTTGAATCCAGGACCCTTCAGTCCTTAGGGAAATGCTCTATCTCTTGAGCCAATATAGTTAGTGCTTTTATTTTTTATTTTAAAAATATTTTTATTGATTTTAGATAGGAAGGTAGAGGAAAAGAGAGAGGCAAACATCAATGGTGAGAGACTACCCTAACCAGTTTGGCTCAGTGGATAGAATGTCGGCCTACAGACTCAAGGGTCCCAAGTTCAATTCTGGTCAAGGGTATCTACCTTGGTTGCGGGAACACCCCTGTAGGGGGTGGGCAGGAGGCAGCTGATGGATGTTTCTCACTCATTGTTATTTCTGTCTTTCTGTCCCTCTCCCTTCCTCTCTGTAAAAAATAAATAAAAAATATTTAAAAAAAAGAAAAAAGATGAGAGACAATCATTCCTTGGTTGCCTCCTGGTTTCCTCACACTGGGGACCGATTTTGAACCTGGGGCTTGTGCCTGACTTAGATTGGAACCATGACCATCTTGTTCATACCTTAAAGCTCAACCATGCCGAAACCGGTTTGGCTCAGTGGATAAAGCGTCAGCCTGCGGAATAAAGGGTCCTTGGTTCGATTCCGGTCAAGGGCATGTACCTTGGTTGTGGGCATATCCCCAGTAGGGGGTATGCGGGAGGCAGCTGATCGATGTGTCTTGCTCATCGATGTTTCTGGCTTTCTATACCTCTCTCTTCCTTTCTGTAAAAACTCAATAAAATATATTTAAAAAAAAACAAAAAAAAATCACAACCAATGAGTCATTCTTTCTGGACCATTTGGCAATCTTTTAAACAAGGATTTATTCTTCCTCTGAAAATTAATTTTTTTATTTTTTTGTGTATAATTTTAATAAATTGGAAAGCTTTCTTTACACAACTCTCTTGGTTTGATGAGTATCATAAAATGGTTCTTATGGAACAATTGTACATGTTTAATGAAATTATAACTATCACTAAAGGCCCTTCTGTCTCCCATTATCACCAGAGTACATATAATGGAGAGAGAACTGATCAATGGTATCAACATTGGAAAAACTTTAAGCAAGACTCATATCTTAATAATCAGTGGAGAAGCGAGCTTGCAGAGGACCATTATAAAAGTGGAAAAGTCATTGACCAAATGTGCAGTCACAGTTCACGCCAGGTTATTCTCATTGTGGAGAAGACACACCAAGGAAATCAATGTGTCCAGTCTTTTCAGCAGTCTTCAAATTATACTGAACAAGAGAATATTCATACTGGGGAAGAGACTTACAAATGGAATCGTTGTGATAGAATCTCCAGTGAAATATTCAATCTAAATAAAATGGAAAAAATCCATAATGAAGGAAAACCTTATAAATATAAAGATTCTGATCGAACATCTAATTGGCCTTCAGGTTGTACTCTAAACCAGAGAATTCAGACTGGAGAGAAGCCTTACAAATGTAAAGCATGCGGCAAAGCATTTAAATGTCATTCATCTCTTATTGTACATAAGGGAAGAATTCATTCTATTGCAAAATTTTGCAAACTCGAAGAAAATGGAACAGGCTTTAGTCAATCCTCAAGATACACTCAACATCATAGAAATCATACGGGAGAAAAGTCCTATAAATGTTCAGAATGTGACAAGACGTTTACCCGGCGCTCAACCCTCAGTATTCATCTGAGAATTCACACTGGAGAGAGACCTTATGACTGTAGAGATTGTGGCAAAGCCTGGGGAAGCTTCTCAGACCTTACTAAGCATCAGAGAGTCCATACTGGAGAGAAGCCTTATAAATGTAGAGAATGTGACAAAGCCTTTAGATGGTCATCAGATCTTACTAAGCATCAGAGAGTTCACAGTGGAGAACAGCCTTATAAATGTAGAGAATGTGGCAAAGCCTTTACATTGTCCTTATACCTTAGTAGGCACCAGAGAGTTCATACTGGAGAGAAGCCTTATAAATGTAGAGTATGTGGCAAGGCCTTTACACTGTCTTTATACCTTACTAGGCATCAGAGACTTCATACTGGAGAGAAGCCTCATATATGTGGAGAATGTGGAAAAGCCTTTAGATGGTTCTCACACCTTACTGCACATCAGAGAGTTCATACTGGAGTTCAGCCTTATAAATGTAGAGAATGTGGCAAAGCCTTTAAATGGTCCTCAGACCTTACTACTCATCAGAGAGTTCATACTGGAGAAAAGCCCTTTAAATGTAGAGAATGTGGCAAAGTCTTTAGCCGGCCGTCAAGCCTTAGTATTCATCTGAGACTTCATTCTGGAGAGAAGTTTTATAAATGTAATGAATGTGGCAAAGCCTTTACACAGTCCTCACACCTTACTTATCATCAGAGAATTCACACCGGAGAGGTGTCTTATAAATGTAGAGAATGTGGCAAAATCTTCAGCGGAGCATCGGACCTTACTTATCAGAGACTTCACAGTGGAGAGAACCCTTATATATGCGAAGAATGTGGCAAAACCAGTGTAGCACCATACCTTCCTTATCAGAGAGTTCACACTGGAGAAAAGCCTTATAAATGTACTGAATGTGGCAAAGCCTTTAGCCAGTCCTCACACTTTACTTGTCATCAAAGAGTTCACACAGGAGAGAAGCCTTATAAATGTAGAGAATGTGGCAAAGCCTTTGGCAGCTCCTCGGGGCTTACTAGGCATCAGAGAGTGCATACTGGAGAGAAACCTTATAAATGTGGAGATTGTGGCAAAGCCTTTAGATGGTCTGCAGATCTTATTCCACATCAGAGAGTGCATACTGGAGAAAAACCTTATAAATGCAGAGAATGTGGCAAAGCATTTAGAAGGTCCTCAGATCTTACTAATCATCACAGAGTTCACACTGGAGAGAAGCCTTATCAGTGTAGAGAATGTGGCAAAGTCTTTACACTGTCCTTATACCTGACTAGGCATGAAAGAGTTCATACTCAAGAGAAGCCTTACATATGTGGAGAATGTGGCAAAACCTTTACCCTGTACTCATATCTTACTAGGCATCAGAGACTTCATACTGGAGAGAAGCCTCATAAATGTGGAGAATGTGGCAAAGGCTTTAGATGGTCTTCACACCTTACTACGCATCAAAGAGTTCATGCTGGAGAAAAATCTTATAAATGTAGAGAACGTGGTGAGGTCTTTTGCCAGCCCTCAACCCTTAGCATTCATCAGAGACTTCATACTGAGGAGCAGCTTTATAAATGTAATGAATGTGGCAAAACTTTTACAGAGTCCTCACACCTTACTTGTCATCAGAGAATTCACACTGGAGAGGAGTCTTATAAATGTGGAGAATGGCAAAATCTTCAGTGGGACATCAGTCCTTACTTACCAGAGACTTCACAGTGGAGGGGACCCTTATATATGTAGAAAATGTGGTAAAACCTTCAGTGTAGCATCGGATCTCACTTATCAGAGTTCACATTGGAGAAAAGGCTTATAAATGTAGGTAATGTGGCAAAGCCTTTATACTTTCTTCACACTTGTCACCAATGAGTTTACACAGGAGAGAAGCTTTATAAATGTAGACAATGTGGCCAAGCCTTTGGCAGCTCCTAATGTTTTATTAGACATCAGAGAGCACACTGTAGAGAAGCCTTATAAATGTAGACAATATGGCAAAGGCTTTACACAGTCCGCAATTCTTAACATCAGAGAATTCACACCAGAGAGAATATATTAAGGTAGAGAATGTGGCAAAGTCTTTAACCACTCATCCTTTACTACTCTTCAGAGACTTCACACCAGAGAGAAGCCTTATATATATAGATAATGTGGCAAATCCATTGGCAGTTCCTCAAAATTTACTACACAGCAGAGAGTTCATACTTGAGAGAAGACTTACAGATGTGTGGAGTTTCCTATGTCCTGGACCAGCATTGAGAACGTATTGAACATCACAAAATTCATTCTGGAAAGAAGCCTTATGAATGGGGGAGGAAAAAAAAAAAAAAAAGCTTTGGAAAGTCATTCAGGTGTTATTGTACTTGAGAGGCTTTCTAACAGAGGAAGACCTTACAAATGTAGAGAATAGGCTGGAGCCTTTACCTACAGCTCAAAATTTACTAAACATGAGAGATTTTATACTGGAGGGAACCTTACTCCGTAGAAAATGTGAGAAAGCACTGGCTGGCATGTCAGTGGTTTACCTTTGACCTGTGAACCACAAGGTTAGGGTGCAATTCCTGGTCAGAGCACATGCTCTGATTGCAGACTCAATTTCCATTGTGTACATGCAGGAGCTAGCTGAACCATGATTCCCATTTATCATTGATATTTCTTTCACACAGTTTCCTCTCTGAAGTCAGTAAAAATACTGTTTGAAGAAAGAAAAAAAAAATGTGAGGAAAGCTTTAGTCTGTGTTTATTCCTTCCTATACACCAGAGAGTTTATATTGGAGAGAAACCTTGCAAATATAACGAGTGAGGTTAATCCTTTTCTTGTCAATGGAGTCTTATTCAACACCAGAGAATTCATTGTGAAAGAAAGCCTTACAATTATGAAGAATGAGACACAATTTTTAATTATCCTCTTGCTCAACACAAGAGAACTTGTACTGGAGCGAACACCTATAAATGTACTGTGTGTAACTTTGATAAGCAGTGGGGTTGCCCACACTGTGTTGCTTCTTGGTAGAGTGTCAACCATGAACCAGGAAGTCAGTGCTCATTTCCCAATCAAGGCTTATGTCCTGTTTGTGTGCTAGATACCCAGTAGGATTCAAGCAAATGCAGTTGATTGATGATTCTGTGATACTGTTTCTATTTATCTCCCTCTCCCTTCTCTCTCAAATCCAATACCAGTGATGTTTTAGTACAAGGTAGGAGATGTTTCAGGCCCTGGATGCAGAATTGCCATGAACTCTGCATTGGAGAGAGGACACCTGTTTTCAAGCTGTACTCCTAGCTGAACACAGAAATTAGTTTCTTTTATTTCATATTTCTCTGTGTGGTGTGGTGTGTGTTTTTCTCATTTTTCTACCTAGCTGATACTCTTTTTCTGTACTGGTATAACAATGGCATCTAAACATCTTCCTCTCACATCAGCCCTTCTGGCCCCTATAGCTTTAGTAGTTTAGAATTCAATAACATCAGAATTTTGGCAGAATTTTGATTTATATTTATGGAGTAGGAGGACTAACATTAATGTTTCATGCTGGATTCTAGATTTTGAGTATGAATATTAATTTTTGAATTACAATAAATTGGCTTCTGTGTACTTTATGACTGGAATTATTTTCCTTGTCCTGATTTTCATTGGTATCCTTTAGAATTTCTTAGCCAAAACCAGTTTGGCTCAGTGGATAGATCGTCAGCCTGCGGACTGAAAGATCCTGGGTTCAATTCCAGTCAAGGGCATGTACCTTGGTTGCAGACATATCCCCAGTAGGGGGTGTGCAGGAGGCAGCTGATCAATGTTTCTCTCTCATCGATGTTTCTAACTATCTCCCTTTCTCTCTGTAAATAATCAATAAAATATATTTTTAAAAAACAATAAAAATTAAAGAATTTCTTAGTGTATTGTACTGGTTTGGCTCAGTGTAGAGAACATCAGCCTGCAGACTGAACAGTCCAAGGTTTGATTCCGGCCAAGGACACATGCCTGGATTGCGTACAGGAGGCAGCCAATTGATGATTCTCATCATTGATGTTGCTATCTCTCCCTTTTCCTTCTCTAAATCAATAAAGAAAAAACAGAATTTCTCAGTGTTACCTCATTAACTTCTTTCTTGGGATGGACTCAGCTTGTGTTAAAAGGTTTTATTGTCAACTACTTGAATGTCTCTGGATATTGGTCATTCAAGTGGAATCCCAGAGACCATGGCAGATTTGCAGGTGAAAATTTTTATTATATTGCATCAAAGTTATTATGTATATCGACAGCATGATTACAGTTATGTCCATTGGCATTAGTTGCCCCTGCAGCTTTTTACAAATTTCGCTTCATTATAAGTTCCAGGGACAGCAGGTAAGCAGAGGTAGACATGAAAGCCCCACATTCCTTCTCCAGTGTACTGTTGTAAATGTGTACAAGCTGGTAAATATCAGTTCTTTTACATGGGCCATCCATTAGGATCACACAGTGATTAATGATTAAGTTGGTTAAAGAAACTAGATACTGGATAGTAGTCCCTGACATTCCTATGGGCATCCATACATATAAGAATCGACTGATATTTTGTGACTAGGTCTCTATCTGGACCAGGTTCTTTATGGCTTTGTTCTGTTCAGGACAAACTTGGATCTGGATCATTCATAGGAATTTGATGTCACATAGTCAGTAGTTCCATTTTCTGGTACTGTAGTGAGGAATATTGAGGAGATATATTGGTGCAAAATATACATAAGGTCTGTTTTTCACATGGTCATTAGGAGAGTAGATGCAGACATTGTTCCTAGGTTTAGATGGCCTTCTGTCTTCATTTTGTCCAGAATGCATTATTTTCTGCTTTGGGGTGAAAAGCTCTAAGAGATTTCGACATTGTTTATCTCCTGGCACACATGGAGTAATTACTGATAAATACCAAAATATATATTTTTCCAATGTGTCACAAAAATGTCTGACTTTGATTCATGCACACCATACAGCTATTACTGTGCTGCCTGTTGTCACATTTTAATTCGACAATCTATGGCTAATGTAGTCTGTGGTATTGACTGAACAGCCAGGTGTTGCTGGTTTAAAAAAAAAAAAATGTTGCAGCACACCAATTTTCCTGTGTGTTGATAATCACTGTTATAATCACTGTTGATAATCACTGTCATAAACATATTTAATCCACCTTATCTAATGAGTCATTTAAGACCATTTTTTCTGTGTTTACTCTTTTTTTTCTTTTTTTCTGGCACATCTATCCATTGATGTCCCCTGCTATGATTGTATTAGTTTTTAAATGCCAGTAACTACATACCTATCAATAATCACAATATAAATGAGTTAACTGCTTCAATCAGAAGCTACTGTGTTTTCTGATTGAAGCAGTTAACTCATTTATATTGTGATTATTGATAGCACAGTAGCTCAATGGGTATGAAAACGATACCCATACTTATGCTGTCTAAATTATACCCATTTCAGATCAAAAGACACCAGATGAAAGTGAAAGGTTGGTAAAAATTTACTTCATCTCTACCTTTGGTTCCCAAAGAAACCATGCTGCAAAGAATTTTGCTCTAGTGCAAGCTCTAATTGTGCACTGTACATCTTATAGGCATGAGGGTAACCTTGCTCAGAGTTATCTAACCCATGAGACAGTGCCACCTTTTAGAGAAGGCCAGCATGTAAACAGTATTTCATTCCCCAGAAATTTGTTTTGGAAGGAAAAGTAGGAGAGGACATTCTATATACATTTTTATCAATGACCCATTGATGAAATTATAGGGACTACTAAATAACATTCATTTGACAATGTACTGCCAGAATACAAAGACTTCAAAGATCACAACTTATTACCAGAATATATTTATTCCGTTGAAAAATACATTACATTAATTAGCTGAAACTGGTTTAACTCAGTGGATAGAGTGTCAGCCTGTGGACTGAAGGGTCCCAGGTTTGATACCGGTCAAAGGCACATACTTTGGTTGCAGGAGGGTGTACAGGAGGACGTTGATCGATGTTTTGCATCGATGCTTCTAACTATCTCCTTTTCTCTCTGTAAAAAATCAATAAAATATATTTTTTAAAAATACATTAAAATTTCCCACAGTGTTGGAAGGTTAATGATGTTATCAGTTGCTTATCCGTGAATGGAAATCTGTATCTGTCTCTGACACTTCCCTCATCTACAATAGAAATCAGACTTTTCAAAAATGAACAGTCCAAACATCATAAATAGCCATCCGAAGACACTGGTGCAGCCTGTCAAATGAATGTTACTGCTAATAGTAGTAATAATAATAATAGGGTTCTGTCAAGCCTACATATACACTGAGTGGCCAGATTATTATGATCTCTGAATGCAAAATAATCTGGCACTCAGTGTGTGTGTGTCTCTGTGTGTCTATTTAAGAGGCCTGGTACATGAATTTGTGAGTGGGTGGGGTCCAGCCAGCCTGGCCAGGAGGAAGGGACATGGGCAGTTGGCTGGCCTTCCTGCTGGTCAAACTCCTGGTCAAGGGGACAATTTGCATATTAGTCTTTTATTGTAGAAGATATACACTGACCAGATTATTATGCATTCAGAGATCATAATCTGGCTACTCAGTGTTTGTATCACAGCTACTAAATTACTGATGTTGTATTATATGCCCTTAGACTATAAGAAATATAATAGTAAACACAATATATAACAATTAAAATGAAACCCGAGTCATAATAACTTGTAAATTAAAACTAATCTATTGTGCCACGCCAATGTGGCTCAGTTATTGAGCATAGACCTAGAATCCGTGAGGTTACAATTCATTCCAGGTCAGTGCACATACGAGGATTTCAGGCTCCATTCCCAGGGAAAGGCATGCAGGAGACAGCTGACGTAGATTATTTTTCTTTTAAGTATATTTTATTGATTTTTTACATTGAGGAAGGGAGCGGGATAGAGAGAAACATTGATCAGCTGCCTCCTGCACACTGCCTACTGGGGATATTCCCGCAAACAAGGTACATGCCCTTGACTGGAAATGAACCCAGGACCTTTCAGTCTGCAGGCTGACGCACTATCCTCTGAGCCAAACC